TGGCGTTCTAAACGTATGTGAGACGATATTTTGCTTTAAACAGGTGCATTTTTAAACTATGTTACCGGGTAAGGAGTGATAACTTGAAATCGCCGCCACCACTTACTGATTAGGCTGTTTATATATTGGCTATTCAAATGTATTTTGCCAAAAAATAAAAACCAATCGTATTTGCCTATGTTTTAAGCGGAAGCCTAGAAGGAAAGTTTAAAATTTCGATCAAGTTTATGATCCTTACCATGCACTTTATAAGTATTTGCGACCAAGTGTCGACAGAGGAGCAATGATATTCGACCAATTTCATTTTAAGATTGAATCAAATGTACCTGTGTAATGGGTTGTCGCATGTTTAATATGTTACCTATTGTTCGCGGTTTTCAGATGCCTAAAGCCTTCAAAAACGATAAATCACACTAAGAAATTTGAAATTCACAGGCTGTGGAAACATAAGTTGATATAATTTTCTGAATTATGTTCCATGTTATGCCTGTGCTTGGAAAATACATCAGATAAATACGGCATGTTGTGCTTTTACATGAAATATTAACCGAAATTCTAAATAGGATTTCAAGTAGAAAATATTACTTAAGTAGGGTTGTCCTGTTAATTATCTTATAGCACAGGGTCAGTATACTTCGGACGCGTCAAGATGCCGGCTCTGAAATGCGCTTCTTTACGGCCATCTGCAGCAACTACATTCTGCAAACAAGACTGCGTAAATAGTATGAGATTGTCCCATCGATTTTCGACGCGAATAATCGCGCGGGCCAGCAATAAGACAGGAAATAAGCTACCCAGGGGTCTGAGTGTCTAACACAAACTCCATAACCAGACACGTCGATATACCACCTGTTATCATGCACTTCGTTCTCGCTCCCAAGAGAGGGGACTCAATTCCCAGCCAAGGGCGCATGTCTTCATGACGCAGTGAGACGCCGTGGACTTCGTCTTGTCGCGGGCACTATCCCTCCACCCCTAACCCCTTTTTGTTTGACCACAAAACTTATAGTTTGACGTTGCATTTTTACAGCATCTAATGATGGCCTCCTGCACGGGACTGACAGCTAAGACCAATACTTGTACTGCCCTGCTGATCTCGCGTTCAGCGCCTTTGCAACAAGAACCTGCGACGTGCACATTCGTTTCCATGCACTTTAATGTATTTTATAGCAATAAGCACAAAAATATTCTTCCTCATGCCTAGTTAATAGGAAATAGCGTCTTCATTAAGTTTTTACCCTGAATAAAGTGTGCCTTATAGTCTAAAAACCTATGATTCCGAATAGTTTTGAACCCAACTGGCTCTTAAACTTGCATTATGGGCTTCCAAACTAAAAGATGCATATTTTCCATGCACAGAATGCTGTATATTCTACATGCCATAAAGAAGATGTCATTAAGTGTTGAGGTGGATGCGGACCATGTTGTACACTTTGCAAGCAGCATAACTAAACGGACAGGTACGGTGCTTCTTGAATGGACATTCCGCGATCTTAAGAAACTTTATCGATAGAAAATTAAATGTCAAGGGATGCCGCTTCTTTATGTATAAAATCCGAAAATGTCATTTGCTACCAACTGAGCATACGAAATATTTCGCATGTTTTATGTAAAATATATCCAAATATATAAGGGCATCGAAAACCAATGAGGAAATCCATAATATTCAAGTAGTCGTGCATAAAAAAATATATTGGAATTGACCAATTTCGTGATAGCATATGAACTGTAATCCGTCGCTGCGTAACAGAGATAGCAAATAAAAAATACGGCGATTTGAATTTCCACAGGAAAAACAATGCAAAGCATCAGGGACGTCGTTTACTACACGCAGACGATCAATAAAATGGTAGCTTAGAAACACAAATCGGGAAAGAAAATATGGAAGTAAAGATACAGATGGGGTGTCTAGCTTAAAGGGCTGAGATTAACCACGGCAAGCGGCCACAAAGGAGCCCCTCCAAACGACGGCACCCTGATGTAACCAGAATATGCGGTGACTATGCCGCTATATAACTAATGTTACAAGCCAGTCCAAGTAATCTTTTTTTGTCGGAAACACATTTAAAGATCCGGTTAACATTACACGGGCTAGTATATCTATTACAGGCGATAGCATCGGGATTCAAGGAGTGACCCTTAAGTCTGTAAGGTCCTTTTATAAGTAGCATAATGTTAATGCATCTAAAGTCGCCTATGACGCATAAATTGAATTTTTTTAGTCGTACCAGTCCTG